CATTCTTTTATTGAACACATAAGTATTGCCATGAAAAATCATGTTTGGTTTATAATCAATTTTTTATTTTCTCTAAACAGTAATTTCAGACTTCATGTGGACTTTGAACAATGTAATTCCTTTTTTGCTGAAGTCTAGTTTATAACTATTGCAATTTCAGACTTTTTTTTGCAAATTAACCTTCTGACCAGAGTATTCCCATCTATTCCCTTATGTTTGGTTTTTCACCGGTATAATTCTTAAATTTTTGCTGAAGATATTAGTGAAATGTGTCCGTGCTATGGAAAGTAAAATTTATTTTCTTTCAGTGCTTGGTGTTTGTAAACACGGATGTAAACAAAATTGTAAGTGCAATAGTGTTGCACAAAATTTCAAAAAAAAAAACAAACTGAAAAAATAAAAAGAAGCTGTTGGGTGAAATCATGGATTTGGCGTAGATTAGAGCTGAGTGTCAACAAATATCAACATTCGTTATGAAATTGTTACTTATTTGGCATACTGAATTCACAAAAAGTGAACTCGATTGCTTTAATGGCACTTATAAATGTAAACTATAAGTTTATTGTCGTACACCTGATAGCTTAATAGTGGCTTGGCAATATTTTGGAAAATTATTAGAAAATATAAACTTAAACGCTTGAATTGCTGAAAGAGACTAGATATTGCTGGCAGAAGACTAAGTACTACTAATAAAAGACTAGATGTTGCAAATGAAGCAGATTCTTCTTACAGAAGACTGCACACGACTACCAGAAGACGAAATCTGTTGGTAGAAGACTAGATATTGCTGCAAAAGACTAGATATTGCTGGCAGAAGACTAAGTATTGGTAGTGAAAAACTAGATAATTCAAATGAAGCACATCCTTCTTACAGAAGACTACACGCTACTACTAAAAATCAAATACTTTTAGCAGAAGACTTAATTTTACCGTCAGAACACCAAATTATGTTGTCAGAAGTTACTATTACTAATGGTACAAATCCCGTTTAAATTTCTGTCCATTGCATCCTTCGCTTCCCGATTTCTATGTTCATTAGATTTGAAATTCCAAAGAATTGAATTTTCTTCATACACTTCAATTAATTCAAATATTTCTTCTTAGGACCATTTTCTTTTAGGTGTTATCTTTAAACGTGTTATATTGAGAAAACTCGCAGCAAAATTCGAACCGTGTTCGTTTTTTGACAGTTACTCTCACGATAGATAAATTGTGCGTGTCCACTTGAGTATAAATCTCAACGTGTTTACTCCCCGAGAGTTGTGGGGACTCTCTGATAGTTACTCTCAGATGCGTGTCCACCAGAAAATATACTCTCGATAGCTTCTCTCGAGAGCATTTCTCGCAAGTGGACACTTAGCTTTAAGCCCAAAGTATTTGTAGATGCATCAATTTTCCTTATTACATATTCAAGAACAAGGTTTAATAGTATTGGAACTAGCCCATCTCCTTGCTTTAGCCCTTGTGTGGGGCTACTGTGTTTTGAATGGGGGTGTGGGCTTTATTGGCTCAGATAGGGTGCTGGAGCTAGTCGAGGAGGATGATTGTGTGATGATGATGTACGGAATAAATGGAGGCAAAGTAAGATTGGGATGTGTCTGCCTTAGAGACGATTTTGGGAGAATCTTTCAATACTAGGACACCCGGCATGAGATGACCAGCTGTTAGATCTAAGAGGTGAGTTGATGAATGAATGAGTGGAATAGTGTGAATGAATTAATGATAACAACGATGAACCAACCTTCCAAACAGCAAATGGATTTTGATAAAGGGTAGATTAATGTGTGAAGATAATAATAATAATAAGAATATTTATTGATGTACCTCAAAATAAAGATACAGCAAATAGAAACGAAAACAGAGTACACATAGAGGTAATCAAAAGGGGCTGAGTCAATGTACCTGCAAACAGTCGTATTGTTTTTCATCAACCCTCGAACAACCCAAAAAGAAAAAACAAAATAACGTCGCTAAAGCAAAAAGCAGTCTTAAAGCCATGCTCACTTCGCTGCAAAATGCTCAATGGGATGCTACGGTATTTAGGAATGGAAAACCTAAAACGATGTCTAACATTAATGTTATGCACATCACAATAACGAAAAAAAATTGACAAAATTGACAAATTGGTTTTGAGAAAAAGTTAGGAATTACGTCGACCGCATTCCAAAATAAAAGATAACGTCTAGAGTTGACCTGGTCGGCTTTCTGTATTCAAAAATAAGTTTGGAATTACAAAGACCTGACAACGCACAGCAAAATTTTTTTAGATAATACCAAGAAAATTGGGTTGGTCGAGTTCTAAACAGCAAGAACAAGCCTGGAGTTGTTATTTTGGGCAGCCTTCTATCTTAAAAAACAATTTTGCAGTTAAGTATAGAAGACATTACAGAGAAGACATCAAACAATGCATTAATAAAATATTGAAATGCAAGAAAATGTCTGTAAATACACTGACTAAACTGCAAGTTATGAGAAAAACTAGTTGGACGTAGACTACTGAAGCAAAAGATTGAACAGAAACTGGAAAGAAAAAAAGACTGTGGACAAAGAAGAGGAAGTCTGGGAAGGGAAATAAGAGATTGAACAGATATGTGGGAAACTACAAGGTCACTGCTGATACAAGAAGCAGACTGAAGAGAACCTAAAAGAGCAGAAAGAGACTGGGGAGAGACGAGGGAATCTGGTAAAAGAAAAATTAAAGTTTCCAGATACTAAAAAAGATAAAAGTGATTGGGCAGAAAGGTGGGAGACTAGAAAAAGACTGCTACTATAAGAGGCAGACTGGTTAAAAATGGAAAAGAGAAAAAATAAAGTTGGGCAGAAACGTAGGGATTAGAAAAAGACTTGTAATAGAAGAAAGACGTTGAATAGAGACTGGGCAAACAAAGAATGTCTAGTAATAGAAGAAAGACACTTTATAGATCCTGAAAAGAGGAAATAGAGACTGAACAGAAAGGTAGGAGACTAGGAAGATACTGCTAATTTGAGAAATGGAGTGAACAGTCATTGAAAAGAGAAAAAAGACTGGACACAGTCGAAAAATAATGAAAAAAAAATGATAATAGAAGAGATTAATATAAGAAAAATATTGAACAAATATTTCCACTTTTTGTGGAAGACTGAACAGAGACTGGAAAGAGAAAAAATGTTTAGGAGAGGTGAGAAACTCGAAAGACATGAAAGACACTGGCAATAGAAGAAAGTGACTTGATGGAAACTAAAAAGAGAAGAAAAAGACTTGGAGGAAAAAAGGTAAGAAACTGGAAAGATGCTGATAATATCAGAGAAAGATTGAAAAGAGACTGGAAAAAGTCTGGGAAGAGACTAAACGCACTGGATCAAAAAAAGTATTGAAAAAAATTAAGGAACTACGTTCCCCGACTTGCAAAATAGAAGAAAAGTCTGGAATTATCCCGATCGACTTTCTGTCTTCAAAAACAAGTTTAATACCATGAATTGCGCTCGACCAGCTCAATGATACCATCAAAACCAATGGCATTAGTTTTAATTGAAAACGTCATGTTTCAAGCTCTTCAAGCTTTTTAGTAACATTTGACAAAAAGAAAGTGATTAATTCAATATCACACTGCGAGTTATTTTGAGAGGACAAAAAAAACAATCAAAGCATCCTTCAGAAATTATAGGCTGACTTGTATTTAGAAACCCCATTTTCCTGAAACTACTCCACAATTCCCGACTACTTCTGGTATTCAGCATATATTCAAGGTAAGTTTCCCTTTGAACACTAAAATTAGTAAAATTATGCAACTCCTTATAAGCAAGGTAATATAATCATATATAGATAAATCACGAGCAAAATTGTCACGATTAAAATATTTAAAATCTCTGAAGCTAATTGGTCATTGCTCAGAGTTAAGCCCACCTGCGAAGTCTAATTCTATACAAACTATCGCATGGTCTGCAACGTTATGAACAGGTACCTGACACAGACCAAAGGATTCAATAATGGACAAGTATCGACCACGGTATGGTCCTAAGAGATCCAAAATATAAGAATATTAAAATCTTCCAAACAGAACAAATTGTGTGAGAGGAATAAACAAAAAGAGTAGCATCACGGGTATCCAAAAAGCTAGGCATACCAGTATCAGGTCTGTATATCATCACAATATCCTTGCATCCCCACAACTACTCAATAAAAGAAAAATCATCACCTCAACACCGTACCCATCATCCCTAACATAAATACCAACACCTCCATTAGTACGCGTTATTCGACCTGTAAAGAAATGATAGTAGTGCTCGATACAAAATAAGGAATAATCATTTCCACTCAATCGAAGGTGTAGAGAGAACAATAGTTGCTGGAGGCTACCTAAAAAGTTAATTAAAAATGGTAGAAATTTAAAACACGGAATAAAATTGNAGTAGTGCTCGATACAAAATAAGGAATAATCATTTCCACTCAATCGAAGGTGTAGAGAGAACAATAGTTGTTGGAGGCTACCTAAAAAGTTAATAAAAAATAGTAGAAAATTAAAAAACGGAATAAAATTGTGCGCATTCAATTTATTTCGACATAACATGTAAAATTTGGGAATAAAATATATGTATGTACGTATTATTAAATTTTCTGCTTTTTTATATATAAATAGGAAGACAATTACAAATAATATTTGCTCTTAGATTTGTTTCTTAGATTTTATCCTAAAATTTATTGTTTATTTATTTTTTTTTCATACAAAGATTTCTACTTAACTGTACGTATTATTTCCAAGTTATTTTATAACAATTTCAAACCCTTCTTTTTTGATATTGATTTTTTACACAGCCACGCGCTAGAAATTATTAAATTAAAACCAATTCGCAATAAAAACAATTTTTGTTTATGGTTAGGATTAAATAAGACCTAATTATAACGTATTTTTGTCCTATTTTGGAAGCACCAGCGGTTTAAAAAAAGAAGCCCAATATGGAAGAAGCATTCGATGTGCGTTTAAACAATACAATTTATAAAAATTCTTAATTGACTAAATAAATCAAAATTCATCGAAAAAAAAGTCGTGTATTACAAAATTTCAATTGAATTCGATTCAAATTAATCGTGATGATTATTTGAAATCGGTCTACTGGCAGTTTTCAAAACGTTCGTAAAACTTTCGGTCACCGTTCCTGTTCCTGTTGCGGTTGATGCGAACGAAACTTGGGCTCTTGGAATCACACGAGGCACTACAAATAGGGCCAACAACGCTAAGATATGAAGGCACATGTACATATGTCTGAAAAGTGATTAAAAACAATTAAGATAAAAAAAGAGAAAGAAACAATTAAAAACTTACACGTAAAGTCTTAGTCCGGCCCAAAACTCCAACAAAACGAACGTAAAAGTGATATAAGCCATTACAAATTTTGTTGTGGCAAAGGTTACAATATCGTAAAACAATTTTAATTCGCTCGTTTTCGTGAAATAACCACGAATTGTTCTTCTCATCTATTATGAAAAAAAAAAAAAATAGTAATTTGAGAAAATTTTTGATATTAAAATAATTACATTTCTTGCGGCAAAAGTAAAAAGTGCACCATTTGCAAAAGTTACATAATAACCAGGATAAAAACCATGCCACAGGGCCGATAAACCATACGTTAAAACCGTGGCGTACTTTTTATCGACTCGATCATAAACGACTCTTCTTAACCAAATATTGGTCCCGATATTCCAAGATTCGATACTCGATCTTAAACTAGTTGAAAACTGAACATAAACAAATTTTATCATCTACACCAACAATTGTTTTTTAAAATTTTTATTACCTCAAATCCAATAATACTAATATTACTAAACTTATTCCAATTTGGATTTCCCTTATTGTCAAATCCATTAAATCCGATTCCGGAATTATTACAGATCGCATCGGCAAAAAGCCAAGCAAAATAATACTTGCAACGAACCAAAAAAGTTGCCATATGAAGGTAAAAAAGCTTGTATAACAAACTCGATTTTTGCACAAAATCGTCATCTTTTACACCTTGTATCGAATAAGATGGGATAAACTTTACAAAAATTACGACAGAAATCATTGCCATTACCACTTTTTTAGCCACAGCTCGTTTTGCTGATGGCTCAAAAACCATTCTGTTACCGTTTTGAGTCGCCATTTGACTGGACTATAACAAAAATAAATAAATAAATAACTAAAAGGAAACTTAATTTATTTACCAGTGTGAAGTTACCCATAAATTCCATCCATAAAAAAAACTTTTTTGTTTATGTATCGATTTTAATGATTAATAGCTCATTAGAAAGATCTCGTAGAGTAGAGCCTAACATAGTTTTGGCGGCGCAGATTTTGGGCAAACAGTAAAATATATAGAAAAATTCTCTAACTTTAGAGTCCCAAAAATTGAAAACTAATTAAGATAATATCAGGTATGATTACCAAATCAGAATGCATATACTGTCTTCTACACAAAAGTGAATTTTGGCCGTCGCTAAATCATGTGGGTAATTAGAAAAGTGTAACAAAACACGAACCTGTTTCCAGACGTACGTGNCGACAGAAATCATTGCCATTACCACTTTTTTAGCCACAGCTCGTTTTGCTGATGGCTCAAAAACCATTCTGTTACCGTTTTGAGTCGCCATTTGACTGGACTATAACAAAAATAAATAAATAAATAACTAAAAGGAAACTTAATTTATTTACCAGTGTGAAGTTACCCATAAATTCCATCCATAAAAAAAACTTTTTTGTTTATGTATCGATTTTAATGATTAATAGCTCATTAGAAAGATCTCGTAGAGTAGAGCCTAACATAGTTTTGGCGGCGCAGATTTTGGGCAAACAGTAAAATATATAGAAAAATTCTCTAACTTTAGAGTCCCAAAAATTGAAAACTAATTAAGATAATATCAGGTATGATTACCAAATCAGAATGCATATACTGTCTTCTACACAAAAGTGAATTTTGGCCGTCGCTAAATCATGTGGGTAATTAGAAAAGTGTAACAAAACACGAACCTGTTTCCAGACGTACGTGGCGCCAAGCGGTTCTTTGAAAAGCAAAATCATATCCATAAGTATAACTTTTTTGTTAATGGTCCGATTTACGTTTGTAATACCTTTTTGGAAAGGGTTCGTCCTGTAGATCAGCAATTCTCAACCGTCGGTCCAGCGGACCGCCATCGGTCCGCAGAAAAATTTAGTCGGTCCGTGGACAATTTTTATCCGCCCAAGTTAAAAATTTTTTTTAATATACCTATTATTATTATTCAAAAAATAATATCATTTCATTTTACATAATTTACAATTAGCACAAAATTAAACGGTTTACGATCGGCTCAACGCACAAAACTATAATCCGATGTTCGGCATTGTTCGGGAATGTTCGAACATGTATGGTAAAAGATGTGCTTATGGTTGTAATTTGTTTAAGTATCGGAGTCGTGTAATCAGGGTGTGATGGCATTTATTTGAATACAAGTAAGTTTATTAATAATTTTTATAACTTATTTAGGCATTAGCAAAAACATATTTTTTAGTACTTATTCCTTTGACTCTTCTGCTCGTACTTTGAGGTTAAGGGGTTAATAACATGAACCGTAAACGAGGAACGCTATTAAATTTTTTAAATACCAGTTCAACGTCTCAAGAAAAAGTCACCGAAACAGAACTTGGTTGTCCACCAGAAAAGAAGAGAAAACCTTTTATCATAGACTACAATCAGGAATATTTAAAATATGGTTTTATTCTTTGGCCCAAATCTACGGACGAAGATGTACGTCCGATATGTATCATTTGCCATGAAGTCTTTGTAAATGATGCTATGAAACTATCAAAAATGTTACGACATTTGAAATCTAAACATTCCACGTTGGAAAATAAACCTTGTGAATATTTTGAACGTAAGAAACAAGAATTAGGATTACAACCAAAGGCATTTAAGCAAAACTTTGTTCAAAATAAGTCACTACTGAAATGCTCATACCTAGTTGCTCTTCGGATTGCTAAAACCAAAAAATCATTTACCACTGGAGAAAATTTAATAAAACCAGTTTTAATAGACGTTTGTTCAGAAATGTTTGGACCCTCCGCTGCTGACAAAATTAAAACAATTCCCTTATCTAATGATACCATAAGAAAAAGAATTGAAAAAATATCAGAGAATGTGGAGTCTCAATTAATTCGTAAGATAAAGGAATCAATTTTTTTTGCAATTCAAATTGATGAGTCGTGCGACATTGCTAAAAAGACCATATTAATTTGTTACATTAGATACATTGATTTTGTCCTTAAAGAAATAAAAGAAGATTTACTGTGTTGTATCGAATTGGTTTCATACACAACAAGTTCTGAAGTTTTTAACGCACTCAATGCTTATATTATGAAACACTCTTTAGAATGGAAAAACAAGAAAAAAAAGAATTCAGGAAGTAGCTAATTCTGATTTCCTAATTACCCACTGCATAATCCACAGACAGCATTTAGCAGCGAAAAGTCTATCAACCGAATTAAATGAGGTTTTAGCGGAATCTATAAAAATTATAAATTTTATAAAAAAAGGCGATTTGAATAGTAGGTTATTTGCAATATTTTGTCAAGAGATTGGTGCAGAATATGAACAATTATTGCTGCACACAGAAGTGAGGTGGCTTTCGCGAGGTAAGATTTTAACTAGGCTTTTTGAGTTAAGAACGGAAGTCGAAATATTTTTAATTGACAAAAAGAATCCTTTAAAAGTACATTTATCAGATATAGAATGATATAGAATGCGTTTCATTTGTTTAATAAAATAGCTGCGGTTAAGAAAAAAATAAACTTTTGGTTGAATAAAATAAATAGTAATAATATTGATATATTCAATAATTATTATGATTTTGTTAATTCACAACATGATTTAAACCTAGCAAAATTAAACAGTATTATTGCACACCACTTACAATCTTTAAATAGTAGTTTCGAAAGATATTTTCCATCTAAAAACACCAAATATGAAAAAAATTTGTGGATAACAAACCCTTTCATAACATATGACAATAGTCAATTAAATTTAAGTCACAGAGAATATGAGTCGTCCTGGAGATTAGCTCAGACATAATGTTGAAAAGAAATTTTTCAAGCATGTCTTTAGATAAATTTTGGGTCAATACGAGAAATGAATATCCATCTCTATACGAAAAACCGATGAAAATGTTACTCCCTTTCGCAACAACGTATTTATGTGAAACGAGATTTTCAGCTATGACTATTATAAAAAATAAGTTTAGTACCACTCCGACTTAGCCTGACTGATTTAGAGCCCACAATTGAAAAGTTAATTGAAGAGGAGCAGCAGCAATCGTCACATTAATGCCAAATAAACAAAAATTAGATATTTAATTTTTTGCTAAACTTAGGATTGATTTTTTATTTTGTTTATATGCAATGATTATGTGATTTTGTTTTAATTTTCTGCTTTTTGTTAAAGATTTATTTATTTATAAATTATAATAAATACTTATTTTTATATTGACGTACTGTTGTAAATAAATGATAATAAAAATATTATAATAGTAGTTCATTAATACCTATTGAAATTTTTTGTTCAAAATAGTTGACCGGTCCGCGCAATTTTTGGACAAATTCTACAGGTCCGCAGGTCTAAAAAGGTTGAGAAACGCTGCTGTAGATCATATCATAGTAATGGCGGCGCGAAATTCTAACAATAACGGTAATTAAAAGAGTACGAACGTTATAAACAATCATACCCATAAATATAACTTTTTTGGTAATTGTCCGATTTTAATGTGTGATACCTTTCTGGAAAGGGCTCGTCCTGTAGATCATATCATAGTAATGGCGGCGTAAAATTCTAACAATAACGGTATTTAAACAATTAAAAAGGTTATAAACAATCATATCCATAAATATAACTTTTTTGTTAATTGTCTGTAACTAACTAATAACTAATAAATATAACTTAATACGAGATGTGTAATAAACGAAAAGTCAAACAAAGTGCCAGAAGAGAGTTGAGCGAAACGCGATCCATTAACATACAATTCACAGTATGAAAATAGGACCTTTAACAACAGCCAGGAACATTTAAAACAAATTTCCAAAACTAGATTATCCTTTACAAGCAGATTGATACAATTGTGGAGTTCTTGTCTGTCATTTGATTGACTGTATATTATCAAATAAACCATTTAAATCATTAAATGCAGATTCATACAGAAACATCATTATTGAAACTTTATTAAAAAAACTTCGACTCATTAAAGGAAAAATGTCTTTATTGCGCTGAAGAGGTTCATAATGAATTTAAATACAAAAGCAATGCTCGCAGATGGCCCATGATATCTGCAAAAATAGTTTGGACGAGCTGTGTGAATTTTGTAGACACCGACCTTAAACTGTAATGGGGCCGTTACACATTTTTATTTTTTTAATGGATTATTGGATAGTTTAGTAAAATTGATTTATTTTTTATTTTTCAAACTGAGTTTTAGTTTTTCCAATAAGAAAAATAATGAAAATTTGAAAAAACTTTGGAGACGTCACCGTCGTTTCGCACGCGGTTGGTTGAAATAAAAATCATTGAAAGGTGCATGAGCGAGATGCCACGAAAATCTTATGCGCTAGAAGAAGAGATCCGAACGATTCACGTTTTGTCTGATCTTCTTGATCTTACGTGAAAACCTCGTAAACGTCACCAAAGCTGTTATACAGGGAATTTTGAATTTTAATATTAATTATTGCAAAAATTAAACATTTTTAGAATCTGAAAATGTTACCAATCCTTCTATTTTTACATACTTTATTGATTTTTTGAAAGACTGTCTTTCTATTTGATTGAGGGTAACGGCCCTATACGGTACAATAAAAATGTGCCATCAATTTTTATATACAATTTAATGTAGCAACTAAATGTAACTACAATTAAATTAGATTTTAGTAGTTGACTACTTATACAATTTTGTTTAATTGATCTCATTTTGTAAATAATTGTTGTAGCGAGTTTTAGATACTTATTATCTTTACAGAAAAATTATATAATATACAGTTGACTTGTCGTTAATAATAATGAATTATAGTATTTTATTAATATACTGTGTTTTTACTTATTATAAAAGTGGGACAGTTACTAACAATGTTTAAAGGACTAAGAATATAATTATTTATAACGTTTTTAATCGTTTAATCACCCTTATTGTTAGAATTTCGCGCCGCCATTACTATGACATGATCTACAGGACGAACCCTTTCCAAAAAGGTATCACACACTTAAATCGGACCATTAACAAAAAAGTTATTCTTATGGATATGATTTTGCTTTTCAAAGAACCGCCTGGCGCCACGTACGTCTGGAAACAGGTTCGTGTTTTGTTGCACTTTTCTAATTACCCATATGATTTAGCGACGACCAAAATTCACCAGTATATGCATTCTGATTTGGTAATCATACCTGATATTATGTTAATTAGTTTTCAATTTTTGGGACTCTAAAGTTAGAGAATTTTCTTATATATTTTACTGTTTTTCGCGGAATTTAAGGTGTTCCCGCCCAAAATCTGCGCCGCCAAAACTATGTTAGGCCCTACTCTACGACATCTTTCTAATGAGCTATTAATCATTAAAATCGATACACAAACAAAAAAGTTTCTTTTATGGATAGAATTTATGGGTAACTTCACATGGGTAATTTATTTACCGAACTTTGGGCTGATAAAAAGTTATTTCCATCTATAAAATCAATGTAATCCTTGTAATACAAAGCCGGTCCGGCCATTAAAGACGGAAATTGCAGCGCGTAACTAAAATACTCTAAAGCTGATGGAATCTTTTTAATTGCGTAAAATTGTTGCGTTTTAGATAAATCCGAATCGTTTTTTGTTAGCCCATCGTGCAAACAAAACGCTAAACTTGTTACTTTTTGTGTTATTATCATGAGGGGACCTAATAAATAATAAATTTGGTTATATTCTTTATATTGTTTAAATTAAGCGTTATTTACCTGATATATCAAGCGTATATGATGCGTAATCGTATATTTGTCGATGTAAATGAATACAAGACAAGTATAATAAAGCAACAGCNTATTACTAAACTTATTCCAATTTGGATTTCCCTTATTGTCAAATCCATTAAATCCGATTCCGGAATTATTACAGATCGCATCGGCAAAAAGCCAAGCAAAATAATACTTGCAACGAACCAAAAAAGTTGCCATATGAAGGTAAAAAAGCTTGTATAACAAACTCGATTTTTGCACAAAATCGTCATCTTTTACACCTTGTATCGAATAAGATGGGATAAACTTTACAAAAATTACGACAGAAATCATTGCCATTACCACTTTTTTAGCCACAGCTCGTTTTGCTGATGGCTCAAAAACCATTCTGTTACCGTTTTGAGTCGCCATTTGATTGGACTATAACAACAATAAATAAATAAATAACTAAAAGGAAATTTAATTTATTTACCGAACTTTGGGCTGATAAAAAGTTATTTCCATCTATAAAATCAATGTAATCCTTGTAATACAAAGCCGGTCCGGCCATTAAAGACGGAAATTGCAGCGCGTAACTAAAATACTCTAAAGCTGATGGAATCTTTTTAATTGCGTAAAATTGTTGCGTTTTAGATAAATCCGAATCGTTTTTTGTTAGCCCATCGTGCAAACAAAACGCTAAACTTGTTACTTTTTGTGTTATTATCATAAGGGGACCTAATAAATAATAAATTTGGTTATATTCTTTATATTGTTTAAATTAAGCGTTATTTACCTGATATATCAAGCGTATATGATGCGTAATCGTATATTTGTCGATGTAAATGAATACAAGACAAGTATAATAAAGCAACAGCTAAAACCAATCTGCAAAAAAATTTTTATTAAAACACTCTGTATGCGCAAAAGATTTTATACCTTTGCATAATATCCGGACTTGTAGTACGTATAACGATATAACAAAGAGCAGGAAGACCAGCTAAGTGAATGGCCTGCCTAAAAGGAAGAAAAAGTTAATCGGAATCGAAAATTGGTTGTTTTGAAAAAGCCATTCATATTAAAAAAAGAAAAAAAATATAGAAAGCTTTTCCAAAACATTGTTTTCGACTCGGACATTACATTCCAAAGCAGAAGTAACCGATGAACAAGCCGAAAATCAACCCGAAACCGTGTCTTGTACCTGATTTTGTTTTCGACGGATGGAGTACGGTGCGAAATAGTGATGCCAAAGCCAAAGCCACAAATTGGCTTATAACAAAATTAGCCTACAAAAAAAGACAAACATTAAAAAATAAATATTTAATTATAAAAAGAAGATTTTTGGAAAAAAAAAAATTTGAGATAACTCAAACAGGACAAATATTTACGTTTTTATTGATATCTTTGTTATTAAACTTAAACAATATCAACGTTCTACTATAAATAAGCGATTGTGTATGTGAACCTTTTGAACTTAATGATATAAAATAATCGCGTGACATCGCAACACAATGCAAAATATATTCCAGTGCATATGAAAATATGCACATAGGTGTAACATATTCGCCGATGACACTGCATATACAAGAAAGTATTTATAGCACAAATAATATCATCCATTATTTTTAAACGCGCTACGTATTATAACTGCTGCCATGAATCGAATAAATCAATTTATTATAGGTTGCGACGGTTTTATCAATACAACCTCAATCGACGAAGCATCTTTATTTTTGGGCGATTGCATTTACTTTCAGTGACATTGAACGACTATTAACGTTGTTCGACCATGGAAATTGGATCTCCCATTCAAATTGAAACAATTTTTCAATAAAGGGGTTAAGTTGCACATGAGAAAACATTTTTATTAAATTATAACATGTTATTTTTGTTCCAAGTAATATTAGAATCATAATATCATAAATTAACACGTTGGCTACCAAAGCCATGAGAAAGTGTGTGATTCATATGTTGTCACGTGTTAAAAGTAACTAATTATAAGATTAAGAGTAAATGAGTACAAGTTCTGCTGCGAAAAATTGAGTGTGATTCAGTACAAAATATCGTCGGTATACAAGAGAATGTGACCAAGTCCAAAATTTTAGATTTTTAGGTTTCAATGCTCATGTACCGGAAATTCAATATTATTTTTCTGGAAAAAATGAACAAGTCCAAAAATGCCATAATAATGCTTATAATTTCAAATTCCATAATGACCAAGTCCATTTTGTAAAAACCTGTACAGGAGAAAATGACTAAGTGGACTTAGTCATGTTTTCTTGTCAATATTTTTATCTCAAGGATTTGTCTTAAATTAAGATAGCCATGCATTATGCTTAACGAAAAAAAAGATACAGAAATATGATGTGACAGACAGGGAAAAGAGAGTGATGTTTGAAGTTTAAACAGTTTATCATAACAATAATTATTACTTAAATCAAAATAAAATTGTGTTCTATGTTATTAGACTTAATCTTTGGTAACTATCTACACGTATTACAATAATTTTGTTTTTTGGATATTTAGTTTTAAAAAATAATAAGCTAATGCAATAATACCTTATTTTAGTGGCAAAATGAGTTGTTCGAAAAATTATTATAACAACGCACAAGAAATTATTAATGATCTTAGGGATGTTCCGGTAGAATTTGCTACTAATTCTAGTAATACAAGCCCTACGACTTTAATAATAAATGAACCACTAGTAAATCCTACGCAAGTTATAGAAAAACGCAGATGGGTAATAAAAAATCCTCAAGGAACAAAACGTGAGAAAAACAAGTTATTAAAAAAATCGTGTTTAGCGTATATTAATACTAAAGGCAAACAAATGCCTGCAAAGTCCCCTAGAAATGTAAATTGTGACAATTGCCGCTACAAATGTACAGAAGTATTTCCTGCAGATCGTCGACAAGATATCTGTAAACAGTATCACAGTCTATCCTATGACAGACAAAAGGACTTTATAATTAATACCGTTGCAACTTCTGAATGCCGAAGAAAACGAACGAGGGACTCTAGTAGACCTGCAAAAAATGTCTCTAAAATTTATACATTTGTTAAAAACGGAGAAAAGAAAAGAGTTTGTAAAAATTTTTACTTAAAAACCTTGTCGATAAGTCATGGACCGGTTGATTCTGCTATAATGAACATAGACACAAATGGAATAAATCATTCAATTCAAGATCGACGAGGAAAAAGTTTCCCAGGAAATAAGACTAAACCTGTCATTTTGAATGAGGTGAAGAGACATATAGAATCATTTCCTGTGATGGAATCACACTATTGTAGACGTGGAACTACACGGAAGTATCTTGACTCTACCTTATCCATTCTTAAAATGTATGAATTGTACAAAGATTTACAGATCAGCAATCAAAAGGATTTTGTTTCTCCAATAACATATAGGAGGGTGTTTTGTACGCAGTATAACTTATCTTTCTTCAAACCAAAGAAAGATCAATGTTTGCTGTGTGTTAAAGAAGCTAAATCTATTGAAAAATCAGAAGAATTTCTTTCTCACATAAAGCGAAGGGATGATGCTAATAGAGCAAAAGATTTAGATAAACAAAGAGCAATTCATGACAAAACTTTTGTATCAGTAAGTTTTGACTTACAGAGTGTCCTGCAAATTCCATGCTCCGATGTATCACCTCTTTACTACAGTCGAAAGCTATGTGCATACAATTTAGCAATTTATGAAGCAGCTCCACCAAATAAGGGATATTGTTACCTTTGGTCCGAAGTTGATGGCCAACGAGGAAGTTGTGAAATAGGTACAGCTTTATTGAAGTGGTTTAAAACTTTACCTGATACTGTCAAAGAAGTGTCACTCTTTAGCGACACATGTGGCGGCCAAAACCGAAATAAATACATTGCGGCTCTTTTGTTGTTTGTAGTCAACCAGTTACCTATAGAGATTATTACTCACAACTTTTTAGAAAAAGGTCACTCGCACATGGAGGCCGATTCGATGCATAGTGCAATTGAAAGTGCAAAAAAATACATTCCTGTATTTTGTCTTAATGATTGGAAGACAATTATGACACTAGCAAGATCCAAGAGAGGCAAAAATAAAACTTCTGGTGCCTACATTGTAGAGCAAATGACTTACCGTGACATTATTGACTTGAAAGCACTCAATACATCTATACTACAAAATACAATTCGGGATGAAGGGGGAGAAAAAATAGAATGGTTAAAGATCAAACAATTAAGGTACGAAAAAGAGAAAAAAAAGTTTATAATGTTCCGATACAACTATGATGAAGAGTATAAAATGTTTAACATTAAAGGCAAAGCAAAAGGTAGGCCCAGTAATAATATTCCAAAAGAAACTGAGTTAAAGAAATGTTATACTGAACCCTTGCCTATATCGATCAAGAAGAAAAACGATTTAATTCAACTTTGCCGTAAGGGGGTAATTCCGATCGAATACCATGGTTGGTACTTTGACATACCGAGTGACAATTCCTTGAAAGACAAGTGTCCAGAACCCTCACACAATGAATATAGTGATGAAGACATATGAAGTTGAAACTAGTTACTACTACTTGTTTAATTATAGTCTTTTTTAAGTTTAAATACATATTCTAGAATCTGCATTGTTCATAGAAACCATTACAAACCTATGCAGTTGAAATGAGTTACTGGTTTAGTATTTGCTTAAATTAATTATAGACTTTTTTAATTTAAAATACATATTCTAAAAACTATATTATTTATAAAAATCATTATAAACTAATCTCACGTAAAATGATTGATTTTATAATAAGAAGCAAAAATTAGAATACTAATAACTCAAAACCACTATCTGTGGACTTAGTCACTTCCTCTTGTATACCGACGATATGTAGGACCACGAAAATATTCTTAGATTTCCCGAGGTGATGCTGACTGATATCAATAACGACCTAATGAACCAGATCGTAACCAAATTCGTCTGAATCTATAAATTTACAAAGCATTCGCCTTGCCGAGCATGCTGCAACAAGGTCAATAAAAGAAAGGAAAAATGACACAGCAAAGTGTCAAGCTCATACGGTCTCCTCATTCGACGTAAACACCGTACGTCATGTAACTACGTAAACATGTTTTCAAACGGTTGTAGCAAGGAAACGATACGTTTTCTGACATTGGAACTCATGTTACCGGTTCCAATTCAAAATATTAGCCCCCTCTGTATATAACGGTCAGAAAGTTTGGCATTATCATTGCTGTAATAAGTGTATTCTTCTGTTCCTCTTATGTCAGAGTATGCCATTTCTTGCCTAATTCTAAAAGAAGTAGAATTTTTATTGCATTTTCCCGTTTGACATTTAGACCAGTGTTTCCCAATCTTTTTTGTGTTTTAGGAAAAAAACAAGGAAATTTTCAAAACATAATTGAGAATTGAAATTAAAGAACAAACTAATTTTAATGATAGGTTTTTATATTCCTTCTTCAGATTTAGTGAGATCCTTGCGTTTGATATTGATAGCAAAGAGATTTTATGCCAGGTTCCAATTTAGTTAATTTCAGTCCCAAGTCCCCCCACTTGGTTATATCCAACCGATTTCTTTTGTTTTAGCAACAAATCGTTTATGACACAAAATTCGCTTTCAACTAAATATGAAGACATTAGTTCTCTTGCGCATTTAATTGCATTTGGATATTTTAATTTCGGTTTCTTCACAAAGCCATATCATATATTAAATAAAGGTTTAATTGATGGGGCTACAAGTTTAGCTAGGACTAGCTTCAATCCAGAAAATGTGAAAATATTTTTTGATAAATTAGATGAAGTTATTTCCAGATATGGATTTTCATCATCTGATATTTACAATCTAGATGAGGTAGGTTCTAGTTTTAAGAAACAAACTTTATGTCATAGAGTGTGTTTTTTCCAGAAGGTTCAGAAAATAATCGCCAAAAAAAGGTCAGTGTCAAATAGGGCAAGTAACCTCAAGAGAACGTGGCGAATTAATAACCCAAGTGGGAATAATAGGTGCCAATGGCATAGCTCTACCAAGTGTGTGAGTCTTTCCTAGACAAAGATTTGACCAAAAAAGAATGATGTAAGGTGTTCCTGATAAGACCGGCGCTATTGGACTGATACATAAATCAGGCTGGATGACCAGTGACAATTTTATTAAAGTATGTATTAGAAAATTTTGTAAAACACACTCGTTGTTCCATAGAAAAGAAAGTTCTCCTTATAATGGATAACCATGAATCCCATTTGTCAGTTGAAGCACTTGATTACAGTAAATCCAAGTAGTAAGGTCCAGTATTCGGGCCATTTAAAACTTTTTTTAATCACGGTACAGATTCTTGGATGTTATCCCATTCAAGTCAAACACTAACAATTCATGTTCTCCCAGTAATCTGCTGTATGGTATGTATTTCGCTTTTTGATATAGCAGTTTTTACAGAGGAAGATTATTTGTCGTCTTATGTAACGGATAGACCTTTGCCTGTTGGAAAAACTGACGAACAAAACAAGAATGATAAAAATTTTCTACCAACAAGCTCAACACCTCTAACCAGCACAACATCGTTAGTTTATAATATTGTATATTTTTAGTGGATGCTTCGCTGGGCTTGTCCCGCTTGCATCCCAAATAAAAATAAAATAAAATAAACATCAGCTACACCATTAGTCTCAAAATATGAAGGAAAAATATGAAATAGCTAGTAGAAAGGAGAAGAAGTTGCGTAAAACATTAAAACCAAAAGTGAAAGAGGCAAAAATCATCAACAATTGTTGATGATGAGGTGTCAAGGAAGAAAGTTTTTGAAAGAGATAAAGCAACGGGGAAAATTTTGGATGATGAATCGTCTGATGAGCAATGTGAAGAATGGAAATTAGACAGTTCTGATAACAATTTAAATTCTTCAAATGAATCTGAGGACGATAGAGAAATTATTAACGTGGGTAATTTTATCATTGCCAAAGTTTTCGGTAAGACTTCAATGAGGCAGTACATCACTCAAGTAAGAGAACCCGATTTCTTGAGTATGGTATTCATTAAATATATGTTTGTAAGTCTGCAGCAATAAATATCAACATTATTATGTAATAGTTCAAACTTTGGACAAAATCAAGCATTTGGAAAATCCCCTCTAAATCCAACAATAATCTTTGGAGTAGTGATGTTTTCTAATGATTTACACAACAACATTTCTTCAACAAAATTACCTTTATCAATATATCGTACATAAGTCAAAAGTACGGACTCACTGTCTCTCAAAGTTGGTTCATCCATCTGCAGAGAAAATGTTCTTGTTTTTAGCTTTTCAATAAGTTGTATTTTAATTTTTTCACTTATTTTATCTATTTTTCTGCTAACAGTATTGTATTGTACAGTATTGTAGTATCTTTATCATCTTTTTCCATAACCATTTTGAGAAATGCTGATATTGAGGGATTGATTAAATTCTCGCCTATAGTATGATTTTTCCCCGATTTAACGATGAATAGGAGAAAACACTGATTTTGAAACGGTAAAGCAGACTTTCTTTTCTTCTAGGTTCATAGAATTTTGAAATGGCAAGCAGCCAAGAAATAATTTTCACTTCTGCAACTTTCTAAGTCTTAGGTGCATACCATGCGTGGTATTTAATTCTTTTTTAACCCGTTTATGCCCACAGTTCCAATAATGGAACTATGGACTAAACGGGTCCATAAAGATTTTTAATAATTTCAGATCCCTCACAACTGCATAACTCATTCATTTAATAGAAGAGGACGATTTTTGGGCCACTAATGTTTTCATCACTCCTCCAGATGATGGTGCTGAAAGTGCCGAAGATAGTGGCAATGAAGACTTCTGTAATGACATAAATAACTAGATGGTCGACAGCTTCATGGCGAAAATTACAAACCAAAGACGGACTTTCACAATTGGTAATAGCGACACTGACGAAGAGACAAATCGTAACAACGAACCTTTGTCAGAAATACAAAAGAAGTTACCGAAAAAAAGAAACTGGCAAAAATCCGATCTTATTTCTGAATTCCGAACTTTGAGAAACTGATGTAATCAGCACCTATTCCTTTTGATCCGGTGAAATAATAATAATTTTAGCCGTCTTTAGAAACGCACGGCTAAACCCGAATATTTCTAGGTCTAGTGTTAGTTCTAGTTTTAATTGTTGTGCAGCGCTAGACGAAGAACTAGAATCATTCGGGTTGGGTTGGGTTGGGTTGGGTTGACGGCTAATCTTAAGAGACTTACGGTGTTTCAAATGATTCTGGTTCTAGATCTAATGTTAGTTCTAGTGACAGTGCAAGTGTAAAACTAGAACTAATACTATACCTAGAACTAAAATCATTTGGGTTTAGCCGTCTTTAGAGACGTGCGGCTAAACCCAAATAGTGCTAAATAAAAATAGGTATAGTGTTAGTTCCACACAGTAACAGTGCTAGTGTAAAACTAGAACTAACATTAGATCTAGAACTAGAATCATTTGGGTTTAGCCGCACGTCTCTAAAGACGGCTAAACCCAAATGATTCTAGTTCTAGGTATAGTATTAGTTCTAGTTTTACACTGGCACTGTCACTAGAACTAATATTAGATCTAGAACTAGAATCATTTGGGTTTAGCCGTACGTCTCTTAAGACGGCTAAACCCGAATGATTCTAGTTCTTCGTCTAGCGCTACACAACAATTAAAACTAGAACTAACACTATACCTAGAACTAGAATCATTTGGGTTTAGCCGCACGTCTCTAAAGACGGCTAACCCCGAATGATTCTAGTTCTAGGTATACTGTTAGTTCTAGTTTCACACTTGCACTGTCACTAGAACTAACATTAGATCTACAATTTGAAACATTTCGGTTTAGCCGTGTGTCTCTAAAGACGGCTAAATCCGAATGATTCTAGTTTTAGGTCTACCGCTACACAACAATTAAAACTAGAACTAACACTAGAACTAGAAAGTTTCTGGTCTGAAGACGCACGGCTAAACCCGAAAACAACATTGTTCATTAAACAATGGAACATTGTTTCATTAACGGAACATTAAAAAAAAACTTGGAAAATATAATATTTTCTTAAAAATAATGCTTGAAGTCAGGAACAAAGGATAAAAACTGCACCAAAATGACACTGGAAACACAAAAATCTAAAAAAAAAATAATTTGGGCATAAACGGGTTAATTTGACATAAAAATTAAAAAATTTGGGATAATATTAAGCACAATGTAGATATTTCTTAAAAGATTGTTTTGTTGTTATTTAAACAATTTTAAACGATTTTCATTCGACTCCAAAGTCTAAATGATTTTAATTTCTTTAAATTGTTTCAATTAGATATAAAAATAGATAAAAAACATTGATCTTATAGCAAATTTACGACTACATATTATATTTTTCATAAAACTTCATTGTTTTTGCACTTTTCTCAAAATTTTTTGATGAGATAAGATAAATTATGAGAAATCACCCAATTTACTGATAAAATAATCAATGTAGATAAGAATCTTTTGCAACAAATGCAATTTTTATTTATTAATTAATAAAGGAAACATTTATTGGTAGAAGGGCTAATATTTTTTAAAAGTTGTGTACACATAAAAATAATCCTTGAAAAATCTAGATATACATTAAAATCCAGCTAACAATTAACAATGATGATCGAATTAACAATTTCCTGACGTAATAAGCTATTTTTTAATCTCAAAATAGTCACCTCATCGATATCACGTGATATATTCAAATGGTAGTTGAATCCTTTTAAACAATAAATCGCTCTTAGAACCCTTCTACTTAACCTAACCTCACTTTCGAATACCATGTAACCAATAAATTCTGTTTTATTATAAACAGTTACTTTTTTACAAATATTGAAGTTATTAACGATATATATTAAGGAAGTATTAACGATATAAAAATATTTATAAAAATGAAGAAATAATTCAAGGAATTGCAAGAACATAAAAATTGAGGTTATGTCATGAAGGATTATTTACGCTATTTTTAGAGTTTATGACCTTATTGAAGGGAAATATTTTGCAACTTTTTAAATATTCAAATTATTTTTAATTTTTTTTCTTTGTTAATTAATTACCTGATCTACTTCGACTCCAACGTATTCGGCCAATCTGCTAAAAATCCGACTTCCATCGTAATAATTATTTTCCATTGCCATTTTTGGTGGTGTTGATAATTACTGTAAACACGGAAAAAACTGATAAATTAAAGAATTATAATTACATACATAAATATATGTTATTGAAAACATACCAAAAATTAATCGGTTTTTGGCCAAAAGACCTAAAACCGCTCGTGTTATCCTAAAACGACGAAAAAAATTTTGGAATCTCGGAATTTGCAAAAAAAAATTAAATAAACTGCTTCGAACCGGTCGGAAATCGTTGATTGAATGTGAAATTGTAAATAGATGGTCTAAAAGGTAGTGAGGTTGTGCGCATGCGCGTAGAGTTTGTTACTCCCCACTTTTCATTTTAAACCGGTTATATTTTGAAGATGACATAACGGGTTAAAACCTGTAAAATACTTGAAACAAATAATTATAATAAAAATTGCAGTTTCATTATTAATATATTTATATAAAAATCCTTTTAAGCTTAGCTTAAGTAAGTTTTTATTAATTAATTTAAATTTATTATTATGTATTTCAAATATTACAATTATCTAAAAATACTTGTATAAATGAATTGAAACTTACCGTAAATATTTTTTTTTTGTAATTGAGGTTTGATTTCGCAATAAGTTATTCAGTTTCCTTCACATTTTGAATGTTGCAAAAAAATTAGACTCGATTCATCTGACGTTTATTCACAGACATAAGTGTCACTCAATTTCAAGGGGACCCATTTCATATAGTTGTCGGTAAAGAAGAAAGGGATTTCTTTACACCTACGATTTTCCTAACTCGACTAAGCTAAAAAGTAGTAAAAAAATATTTTTGACGTAAAATTTTGTAAAATTGATAACTGACAGCATATTTTAATGTCACATGTGTATAGTATGCAAAATCCGTAAAACTTAAGATTAAATAAAAAAATTCTTTTTATATACATAATTTTTTTGAAACTACCATATTCAATTTGACGTTTGTGGAAAGTAAGGTTAAAAAAAGGGTTTTTCTAGAACAGTTACGATTTAACAAATTTTTTGGATTATAAAGGTTATAAAGGAAGTTACATGTAGTATGTAATAATTAATAATACTAAAAGATGTACGTTGGGTTGCCTATAATCAATATGGAAGTGTAACGTAAAACTTTGCTAATTGTCTTGTAGATGGCGCTACTAATAAATTTAAAAAAAAATAACTAATAATGCAACAATCAACTCATTTTATTATAACTTTGTATATTTAATATATAACTTATAATTTCATGATTTCAAGCCGATCCTCCAGAAAGATTTGTTCCATTTTTGTACATTCTACATTTTTATGTCATTTTTTCATCTTTAATAACTACTTAACATTTTACTGAGCGGTTAACGCCGAGTTAACTCGTCATTGCACTTGTATTACCTATTTTAATTTATGACACCCAGGGCAATATAGAATAATATAGAATATTGCCCTGGGTATATCCGCTTTATAACAAAAAAGTTACTTTTCTTGATGTTTAGGTTTTTATCACAATTTTGGTATAATTTCAAAAATTTCAACCATGACGGAACGTATCGGCTAGTGATGGAACGTATAGTGATTTTGCGAAAAGCCGGATATTCGGTTATTCGGCATATCTATCCGGTCATTATGGTTATAATTTCTGGTGCATTTCTGAAGTGATACCCTATATTGCCACATTATTGCGATATTTGAATAAAAATAAAATTTATAACAAAGCTGATAAGATATGTTAACTTATTTGGATTCAAGATACAATATGAACCTTTTTGATGCTGATTTAACTAACGAAGCAACTCTAAAAAGAGGATACTTTAATTAATAATTGGCGATATTTCTACAAGGATCCTTTAAGAAATGAATTTTATAGCGAATTTTGCAAGTTATCGATGAAAATTGCAACATCAAAACTTCAAATATTGTTTTCTCAAAAACTAAAAGTTATTTTTCAAAACAGGTTGGTTCATTGCAAAGAGGGCACTTTTATTACCATTTTGGGAAATTTTCATACTCATATTCCAAGAAATCGATTTTATACGAATTTTTAAAACTTAATCGGCGAAAATTGCAAAATTCGAAAAAATTGTCGTTCATTTCAAAAATTTATTTCTCAAGAACTAAAAGTGATTTTTCAAAACGGCTTTTTGCATTAAAAAGAGGATACTTTAATTAATAATTGGTGATATTTCCACAAGGATCCTTCAAGAAATTAATTTTATAGCGAATTTTGAAAATTATCGATGAAAATTGCAACATCGAAAATTTTATCAAAACTTCAAATATTGTTTTCTCAAAAACTAAAAGTTATTTTTCAAAACGGGTTGGTTCATTGCAAAGAGGACACTTTTCAAAACTAAATGAAATGGAGAAATGGAGGAATGAAAATGACATTACACCTTCTTTGGAGGATTATTCAACCGTTTCGGGTGAAACTGTGGAATTAAGTGATACACCGAGTATCAGTGAAATAATGGATTTATTTTTTGATGACGACTTTTTTCATTTACTTTTTTCCAAATGAAAAGTAGCATAAAAATTCTGCTAAAACTTTACCACGGACGGAAGTTACAACAAGCGACATGAAAAAGTTTCTTGGGTCGATGGGACAAACTAAAAAAGCTTGTTGGAGAGATTACTGCTCAACGGACCCTTTGGTTGAAGCACCAATATTTTCCTAAAACTATGAGCAGGATGAGGTTCGAGCCTTACATTTTTCCATCTCAGTGATAATGTACAAAATGCACCTAATAGAGGCAGACTTTGTAAAATTAGCTCCCCTCTAGCTTCAAAGCGTATAATCCGGCAAAGATTACAAAATACGGTATTTTACTGAGAATGGTTTGTGAAAGTGAGTCTGGGTATATTTGCAACTTTCAGATTTATTCGGGTGGAGGACAAAAACTACAAGAAACTATATTATCAGTCTTGCAACCGTATTTTGGTTATAGGCATCATGTATATCGAGATAATTACTACAACAACGTTTCTACAGCTGGTATATTATTAGAAAAGAAAGTACTGATATGTGGTGGCATACGAGAGAACCGTGGTTTGCCAAAGGTACTAATAGAAAAGTCTAAAAATCTTCAGAGAGGGCAATTATTCATGATGCGTCTATGATATCAACTGAAAAGCGGAATAAAAATTATACAAATGATAAAGTGAAACCTTCGTGCATAATACAATACAATAAACACATGACAGGAGTCGACCGTGCAGATATTTGGCGAACAGTATCTATCGAAAAAGTATAAAGTGGTATAAAATCACAAAATGAACTAAGATACAAAAAATGTCTGCTAGAAGTAGCTAGGACATGGATGGTCTCATACTTCTAAAAGGGCTCTCTACAAAGATCCACCTTCCAGGCTTTCAAAAAAAACTAAAAAACCACATTTAATAGTTACTGGCGTAAAGACAAATCCAACTAGAAGATGTGAGTACCTATGCTCTTCAAAAGGAAAGCGCAGAGAAACGAGATACATTTGCAAAATTTGTTGTGTACCATTACACGCATTTAAGATGTTTTCAAGATGACCGCCATTTCCGGTCTACCAGAAGTAGACCATAACTTCGTTATTTTAAATGGAATGCTATAGTTTTTGTTGCACCTTCTAATTGTACCTACGTAAAAAATGTTGACTTTGATAAAAGTTATTGGTTTTAAGCTTTTTTTTGGCAAATTTCACCATGCGCTTTAAAACCCTATATTTCAGCCAACGTTCGTTCAAGAGAGCTCTAAATTGGCACGATTACTCTTCAGCTGTCAAATACATTGTCATTTGATGTATCAGAGTATCTTGGTAAAAAATTGAATTACAGTTTCTCCATATTTAATGGCGAGAAAGTAGAAAATTTTAAATGGAATGCCTCATCTTTTTTTAACCTATCAGAAAGAGAATTTAAAACTCTACAAATTATCTATAGACATTCCTATACCTATTTTAGTAGTTTGTCTCATATTGTGAAATTTATCAAAACATACACAAAGAAATTCATAACAAATAACTTTTCTAAAGAAATTTTGTTGTTGATTATTATTGTTATTAAGAATACAATTTGAAATAAAACAATCATTTGACCTCTGTTATTGCATAACAACTTTCGGAGATCTACACTACTGATTTTGTCACATCGACCATACCAGTAAATTAAATTCAAGGATATTATAACTACAATTGTATGTATAGCAACGATTTTAATACCATTCGGAAGATGGATCGGAGGACGAAATGTATGAAAACGAAAAAAGCGTGTGTGTTTCACCGAAAATAATTTGTAAATACTACAATAAAAACATTAAGTGACCAAATTATGTTATCTCTTCTTAGAACATGAGATGAAAAAGGTCACAAAAACACTCTTAACTACGTAACGACGTGAATACTACATATATTTGAAAGTAAAATTTCAGCTACTGCATTGCGTAGTGTTGTGTTTAGTTGTTGAAGTTAATAATATTTTTTAATCGGAACCAACATTAACAGGTAAATCTATTTTGTTGAAATAAATTTACTTATTAGAATTGTACTCAAGAAAATTAACTATGAAGATATTAATTAATGAAACTGTTGTTACCAGAAAATTAAAGAGATTAAAAACTGACTCATCTCTAAAATATTCTCATCCACTAAAAAGGCGTAATAAAAAAATGCAAACTAAATATTTCTTTGAATAATGTAACGAACGTGTCAGAAAAACATATTTGCATTTTGCATATCATTTATACTAATAAATGTATAAGGTTAAAAAGGTTCTTCAAATTTTATGCTTTTTAAGAAATGTGTATTGTTATGATCACACGTCATCAACAAATTATTTCAATGTTTCTACTCATTAAGTTTATTAACAACTTCCTTCGTTATTGAGCTTACTTTAAAAATCATTCGGTTTAATAACATTTTTTGAGAACGTTGTCTATTTTAACTACTAAACTTTGTTTTTTTTTTATAGAACAGAAATTTAAAAGAAAAAAATTTTAATATTTATGCGGTGCAGAAATCGGAGAAAAAATGTCTAAATCTCGAAAGGAACGTGATATTTTCCGACCATTTACCCATAAATCGTTGGATGCTATCAAAACAACAAATGAAGAAAATGGGGTAAGTTATTTCCTTTTCCATTTCCTAAGACACCAATTTAATTTGATTGATGTTTTGATTTTATCTCATTTCGTTATCTTTCAAACAAAAACATTAAACACAATTTAATCGCCGTTGAAATATTTAGAATTTAAAAACGTCGTTAATGTTATCTTTAAGAGTTTATTAAATTGCTTAACATTATTTTGATATAAACATAGAAAGTGATAGGAAATGTTTCCGAGAAAGTAATTTGTTTTTGCAATTATTTACGCTTTTCTTATGATCGTTAAAAGTAAAAGATCTACTTTTATATATTTTGCTGAAAGATCTTTTTGATGATTTCTCATTGTTCCCGGGAGTTGCTTTCCTTATTTTGTCTCCTCTCCTTTTGATTAGGATAGTTGTTAAAATTATTCCTATCTCACTAATCAATTAGAAGCTCGCCATTATTGTTAATAATGGATTAGTTGTATTATATATTTTTATCTGGAGATTTAATATATTCACAATCGAACTTAAAAAAAATAATTTAATAGATATTTAATATCACATATTATGAGAAATTGGTTTTTAAAACATTTTTTGTATTCTCAGATTCAAAATGAGGATGAAACTCTTCAACCAAATCAGATGTATGAGCAGTTCTCACCACTTCCGTTAAAGTTACGAGAAAGTTTTCCATCAAAACTCACCGCTACTCCACTTGAAGAAATCGACCCTTATTATAGGGACCAAAAAGTAAATGATATAATAATGCCTAAATATTAATACATTTCTTCTTGCATTTTAGACATTTGTAGTGATCAATAACCGCAAGGATATATTTAGATTTTCTGCAACAAATGCTCTTTGGATATTTAGCCCTTTAAATCCGATTCGTAAACTAGCCATCAATGTTCTTGTACATCCGCTGTTTTCTTTGTTCATTTTCGTAACTATCTTGGTTAATTGCTTGTTTATGATAATGCCTCTTACACCCACTATTGAGTCAACTGAGTAAGTTTTATTTTTTCGATATATTTAGTTATAAATTACTCATTTTTAGAGTAATATTTATTGGCATCTACACATTTGAAGCTGCAATTAAAATTGCGTCCAGAGGTTTTATTCTTCAACCATTTACCTATCTTAGAGATCCTTGGAATTGGTTGGACTTTATAATCATAATTTTAGCGTGAGTATTAACATAAATTAAATTGTACTAAGTAAAAATTGGTTTTTTAATTTTAGTTACATTACTTTGGGTATAGATCTTGGAAATCCCGCAATTTTGAGGGCATTCAGAGTTCTAAGAGCTCTCAAAACCGTTGCAATCGTTCCAGGTTCATAAAATTTATTAATAAATAAATAATATTGTCATAAAATTATTAATCTTTTTGATAGGCTTAAAAACTGTGGCAAGCGCAGTACTCGAATCAGTGAAAAATCTCAAAGATGTAATTATTTTAATGATCTTTTCTTTATGTGTATTTGCTGTATTGGGTCTTCAAATTTACATGGGTGTATTAACTCAAAAGTGTATTAAAATATTTCCCTCTGATGAGTCTTGGGGAAAATTGACCGATGAGAATTGGTTCATCAGAGAATTCACCAATAACGAAAGTAAACTTTAAAAAATTTTAATTTTTAGGTTGCTCATTTATTTTTTTTTTTTTAGCAAATTGGTACTTTGATGGTTGGGATTATTCTTTATGCGGAAATTCCTCAGGTGCGGGACAATGTCCCGAAGGTTATGTTTGCTTGCAAGGTTTTGGAAATAATCCAAATTACGGTTACACGAATTTCGATACGTTTGGGTGGGCTTTTCTATCAGCGTTTCGATTAATGACTCTGGACTATTGGGAAGATTTATATCAAATGGTGAAATAAATTTTTATTATTTATTGTAACTAAAAATGTTTTTGCAGGTTTTACGTTCCGCGGGACCGTGGCACATATTATTTTTCATAATGATTATTTTTTTCGGATCGTGTTATTTGATCAACTTGATTTTAGCTGTAGTGGTGGCAACTTATGATAAGTTACAGAAAAAAGAGGAAACAAGCGAGGAGGAGGTGACTAAAGCATGGATAATAATTATTTTAAATTATTATAAATGCTTTTTCTTCAAGACCAGCAAATCTTCTTCCGAATTAACAAACGATGAGGAGCAGGATGTTGAGTTGAAAAATGTTATGGTTATTAATGTCACTAAAGAAAACGTTGATGAAACTAATCAAGGAGGTAATGATGATGATAAAGGTATCATAGAAATAAACGATTCACTTTCGAAGCAAATAATTGATTACCTTTGTGTATGGGATTGTTGCTCATGCTGGGTACAACTGCAGAAAATCCTTTCCGTTATTGTCTTTAATCCGTTCTTCGAAACTTTTATTATGTTGTGTATTATTTTAAACACGCTTTTTATGGCACTCGATCATCACGATATGAGCAGAGCTCTAGAGACGACCTTAAGACTTGGAAATTATGTAATTATAAGACAACATTCATTTAATTTTTATTCATTATTTCTGATATTATTATTTAAATAGATTTTCATCGCAATTTATACGATTGAGGCCATCATAAAATTGATGGCTATGTCACCGAAGTACTATTTTCAAAAAGCATGGAACATTTTTGATTTTACCATAGTAGTTTTGTCACTGTTGGAAATGATGTTGGAAGGTGTACAAGGATTATCTGTTTTGAGAGCATTTCGATTGGTATGTCTTAAATAATTTATAATTATAATTAAGGAATACAACAAAAATGATAAATGTGTGTTGCCGCAAACATTAAAATTAATAACACAAAAATTGTCAAGATACAATGAAGAACCAGTTGCTGTACAACAGTGTTTCCCAAACTTTTGCCATAATACATGTATATCCCTTTTTAATTTGTTTTCAAGCCCACTTGCTAACTCTCCAAATGCTGTGTTATGCATTTCAGAGTATCAACATCATTTTTAGTAGCCGAACTTGTTATAACCTCATGAAGAGATGGAAACGAATCTATTTCTCGTTTTGCCATAAATTTAGTTTTGCGATGGCAGCATTTACTTTATCTTGAACGTGAAACAATGAAATTTCTTTGGCTTGTAACGATAAGTATGCTANTATAATTATAATTAAGGAATACAACAAAAATGATAAATGTGTGTTGCCGCAAACATTATATTGTTATCAGGTTGACATTAAAAATTAATAACACAAAAATTGTCAAGATGCAATGAAGAACCAGTTGCTGTACAGTAGTGTTTCCCAAACTTTTGCCATAATATATCGTCGGTATACAAGAGAATGTAACCAAGTCCAAAATTTTAGATTTTTAGGTTTCAGTGCTCATGTACCGGAAATTCAATATTATTTTTCTGGAAAAAATGAACAAGTCCAAAAATGCCATAATAATGCTTATAATTTCAAATTCCATAATGACCAAGTCCATTTTGTAAAAACCTGTACAGGAGAAAATGACTAAGTGGACTTAGTCATGTTTTCTTGTCAATATTTTTATCTCTAGGATTTGACTTAAATTAAGATAGCCATGCATTATGCTTAACGAAAAAAAAACGAGAGAAAAGATACAGAAATATGATGTGACAGACAGGGAAAAGAGAGTGACGTTTGAAGTTTAAACAGTTTATCATAACAATTATTACTTAAATCAAAATAAAATTGTGTTCTATGTTATTAGACTTAATCTTTGGTAACTATCTACACGTATTACAATAATTTTGTTTTTCGGATATTTAGTTTTAAAAAATAATAAGCTAATGCAATAATACCTTATTTTAGTGGCAAAATGAGTTGTTCGAAAAATTATTATAACAACGCACAAGAAATTATTAATGATCTTAGGGATGTTCCGGTAGAATTTGCTACTAATTCTAGTAATACAAGCCCTACGACTTTAATAATAAATGAACCACTAGTAAATCCTACGCAAGTTATAGAAAAACGCAGATGGGTAATAAAAAATCCTCAAGGAACAAAACGTGAGAAAAACAAGTTATTAAAAAAATCGTGTTTAGCGTATATTAATACTAAAGGCAAACAAATGCCTGCAAAGTCCCCTAGAAATGTAAATTGTGACAATTGCCGCTACAAATGTACAGAAGTATTTCCTGCAGATCGTCGACAAGATATCTGTAAACAGTATCACAGTCTATCCTATGACAGACAAAAGGACTTTATAATTAATACCGTTGCAACTTCTGAATGCCGAAGAAAACGAACGAGGGACTCTAGTAGACCTGCAAAAAATGTCTCTAAAATTTATACATTTGTTAAAAACGGAGAAAAGAAA